CATCTTCTTTTGTAGTAAAATGTTAAGGACAAAGTGGTCCTAACGAGTGTAGTTGGGAAAGAAATAAGAAATAGGGTTTATTACAATGAAGGTAATAATTATATGCAATCTTTTGCTACCACTGTTAGCATCAGTGATCTGTTGACTCGTTGATAACTCAATAGAATCAAGGTTTCATCAGCTGATCAATTAAAGAACATATACATTTCAACAAGTTCACATCAAATTATCTGAATACTCATATACCATAGCGTATAGTTAGAAGATGATGTCTAGCAGCACAGCACAGAAGCAAGATGGCTCTCAGGCTGAGTGTTTTGTTTATAGTTTTGATTGGTTACGTGTACCTGTATTGAGAATAGCAAATTAGCATCGAAAATGAAATGAGAAGAAGTAAAAATTAACTAGTCAAACCCACGAGCCTCAGCCTATCCATCAACTGATCCCCTAACTTTACATCAGTTGCATTTAGATGCAAGTCAAGATATTTATGTTCCGGCACGAAGGAGATCTTCTCTAAAGCATCTTATGCAACGGTGCACAGTCACTGACACGGTTCTTTATCTTTTCGACGCATCACGAGTGCAAGAGACTTCCATTATCTCCACAGCAGCGATCTTTCTTCCCACCAAGTGTGCAGAGGGTTGCAACCCTAGCTGCAGCCTATACATCGGACACCCGCTCGAGCGATCTTATCGAACGTTTATAAGCACTCTACCAGGTACAAGAGTTTTACGAGTGTCGAACAGCCAGGAGTTTGTGGAAAGCGCTGTAACCACGGATCGTCGCGTCGTGTAATAACTGTTCCTTCAGGGAACAGCGAAAGTGGCGGTCCCCGAACGTACGGTGCAAAATAAGGTTGCAGTTGGAGGAACGTTGAATTTTGCCGATCGATGCATCTGGAAACATCGACTCAAGGAGGAAAATTGTATTCTGCTTTCTATTCGGCATTTGTATTCTGAGGGAAAATATTTTTTGGGACAGTATGTGAATTTTGAGAACGGTTTGATGTAGAAGTCTAAAATTTCAGTCTCGTGGGAGAAAGGTATGTATTATTCTATGCGCGATCATAAGAAAATTGAGAAACAGTCGGGGTGAAAAAGGAACCGTGCTAGTTGAAATGCTTGGCGAAAAGAATAAATTTTTAAATTTCTAAGCTTCAAAGTTTCTGAATTTAAAACTTCCCAAGATCCAAAGTTCTTAAGTTTCCACGTTTCAAACACCTCCAGTGCTCAAGTTTCCAAATTTTGAATGTTCCAATTTCCCAAGCTTCTAAATTTTCAAGTTTCAAACTTTCCAAACTTCAAACTGTAAAAAATAGGAAAATTCAAAAGTTTGAAAGCTTGAATATTTAAAACTTCGTTTCTTTACAAAAAAATCCAATAAATCCAATAAGATCACTATCCTCACCCTCTATAATCAATACACAGAATAAACTACCCGCCCCCACGAACGAAATTACAATTACAAACAAGGCCACGTACGTTCAGCTCATCACAATAGCAAAAGTTCCACCGCCATCCGTAATTGCTCGCGTTTCTCGTCCGCCGTTACGTACAGGACACATCAGATGGCCGCGCACGCGGCACGAATGCTGAAATAAATGAGCCGGAACACACGCGACCGGCCAAGGAACGTTGTTCCAGGAGTCAACCCTCTCACCCTTGACCCAATACACAGCTCTTTACGAGATACCATAGATTTTAATATCGAAAGAAACGAACCGGACCCTTCTCCAAGCCACGAGCTTCATTCTCCTCGCGGTTATTACTTTTTCTGAAGACCGCTCTGTTTTCACACCGCCGCCGAGTCGCGTTGTTCTGTCCTCGAGTGTTTCCTTCGCACAAGGATAACTCCAACGCGTTTTTCCTCTTTCTCTCTACGTTTCAGTCGCCATAAATTGCGCAGAATATGCTATCCTTGTGATACATGACTGCGATATTCAGGTTGTGCTGTTTTCAGACTGAAACTTGCTTGAAAACTTCTTGTTTCTCTAAATTTTTGAGGTAGATACTACCTTTTCTATGTCTGGGAGGCAATAACGAATTAATTAGACAAAAGCTGGTGGATATGTTGAAACCAATAGGTACAATAGGTAGTAGGAATATGAAAAAAGAAGTCTTATAATTAATTTCTATACCTATTTCCATCTAAACGATGAACAATCTTGCAAACGTATAAGTGCAAACACGAGTGCACAGAATATAGAGTAGAAAATTAGTTCCTACAAGAACTTAAGAATCTTACTACTTTATTCTCAACTTCCTAAGCTTCTTACGACAAGAAATCAGTAACTCTTTTTCTCCGAATTACTTCTGAAAATATAGATTTTGTATGAAGGTCAGTTTTCTTTTCTATCTCTACAAGACAAATGTCAAGTTAACTACATCAATATTGGCAAACTGTATAAATAAAATAGATGTAGTTAATAAAAGGACAAGAAAGATGCAGAAGATACAGTTCCACGATCATCCTTTTCATTCGAGAGATATAAACGACAAGGACTCGTGAACTAGCGTTTCCAAGCGACACTCCTCCTAACGCAGCGTTTCCATACACTCCAAATGACCCGTCGAAAGTCGCTGGACACTTTACAATGCTCTTAAAACGTGACGCGGTTCTTAAGCCTTTTACGGAGCTAATTGACTAGCAGGAAAGGAGGCGATGGATCCTGTAATGGCGCGGAACGCGGCGGAATGTCTCGGACAGGTTGTAATTTTCCGGAGTAGATGCGCGGCGAACGTGTTCCTCTTTCGATCCATTACGCCTCTAATATCCTAGGCTTCTTCGATAGATCAGAGACGCTGGCGCGGGGAAACTTGGAACTTCGCGAGCAACTGCTGAAACCGTTGAAGAACGGGTTGTTAAAAGTTGGGGATAATAAATGCAGTTATTTGAGTAGACACCGACATTCGAGAACTTTCATGTTTTAATTGAATGATGCTTGTAGTGAATTATTTTTATGAGGAAAAAGTTGAATGGATGGAAAATATATTGGGAAATAGTAAAGGATGTATAATTGGAAATTTGAGATTTGAAATTTGAAACTTAAGAAGTTGATATTGGGAAACCTGGCATTTGATAACTTGGAGTTGGAAAATTTGAAATTGGAAAAGTTGTAGTTAGAAAAGTTGAAATTAGAAAAGTTAAAATTTCAGATCTTTAAATTGTAATTTCTAACTTCTAAATGTTTTATTTTCTCAGTCCGACTATTAATCTACAATTCCCGTTTTCCCTAATTTGAACGAAAAAAATTGGGTCACTATCACATTACTACCGAATTATCTAAAACATTCAATACCCGACAAACTTACATAATTAAAGTGTTATCAGAAATTTAACAGCATTCAAAGATGATAAATCCCAAACGATAAAATAATAAAACTGTTCCAATTTCCTCTGTCCCATCGACTCCACATGTCGATGTTCTCATGGCCCGACCAAAGTCGTCCCATTCCACTTAGACGCGTTGATATGTCGTTCACGCGTCCACACGAGCCATTAAATCAGTCGGCGGACTCGGACAAGAAAAATGGCAGTACACCGCCGGTTATTTTTCATCGGGACCGTTGCCCCGCGCGCGGACACTTTTTCCTCGAAATCTGACGCGCAGAGACGTTCCTCGGCCTCGGGGCAGAGGTTTTATTAAAAAAGTAAGCGGACTGTTCGTCGCGACTTCAGTTGCCCAGTCCACAGGGTAAAGCGAAAAAGAAAATTAAAGTTTCTCCGCCGCAACATCGAGGCAATCGGCGGGACTGTTATCAAAAAAGGACACTAGCTTTACCTTTTTGTGACTAGCGTTACAGCTGGAATTTTATTAAAAAAAACCTTTTCCCAATTAGATATCAATACTTAACATTTTATCTTTACATTAATTACATATGGACGATCGAAATAAATTCTTTACTTCGACTTAAAAAATCATTTTTATCGCAAAACATTGAGTGCAGTGATTTGATTTGAATGTAGGAGATACAAGAAGGTTGATCTTAATAGTTTTCATTAACATTCTGTTCATATTTGTGCGCGCTAGATTGTCAGCGAACGTATTTATTGTCCTATAATTCTGTCCACAACTACAATCGCTATAATTATTTTGTCGTTAATAATTCAGTAGGAACGAAGAGAAATCCTGTATTCGTGTTTTGACCCACATTTGTTCCAAAGATTACGAATTAATAATAGAATGTTAATATATAATTTCAATTCGAATGAATGTAACGGTAATTTATATTCCGCTAACGTAATGTAGAACGTTTTCGTCACGAGTATGACAAGATATTACAAGACAGGCAGGTAAAAAGGCTTTCACAGTTAAACTCGTGCACGTGATGCGGAACGCACGTTTATTTTGGGCAACAATGACGCCGGTCAATCTCGGATTGAACGGACAAACTGTCGAGCGCTCTGTATCGACGTGGGAAACAATTTTAATCGCTTTGCAAGCGGTGCACGCGAGGAAAAGCGTCAGTTGTGCGAAAAAGGAATCCGTTATTCCGAGGTTTATTTATGGCACAAATTATATACATAATTCTAAGTTACAATACTTTAATGATTGAGCATTTGTACATTATGTAAGCTATTACTTCGATTTCTCCAAAGTTTCCCACGTCAAAGTTTCATTTCGAATATTGTTAAAATGGTTAATCATTAATGATGAAGCCTGAAATCTGAAATTTGATATTTAAAATTTGAAATTTGAAATTTGAAAAGTCAAAATTTGAAAGTTTAAAATTTGAAAAGTCGATTACAAATGGTTAATAATCAAAATAACCGCCATCGTTATTTATGACTTTTTGCCATTTTCTGGAACCCTACCAATGGAAATAGCGATAGAATTTCGTTAACTTCAACGAAATGTATTTAAACTAACTAAGCCCGTCGAAAATTTTCCGCGTGTAAAGAGAACGCGACAGGTCAATCGATTTTTAATTAAAAGACTCATTTTCGAGGCTATCATTACAGTCTGCTCAATTTGTTGCTTCTTTTCTGTATTTCAGGAGAAGCGAGAACATCGGAGACGGCGCATCGGACTCGTTCAGCAATCAAAGGTAATTTGAAAATAATTGCTAGCGAAGAGTGTATTTTTAGTTAGTTTCACTGCTCAGTCATTTATTTTCCCTCTTCGTTCTCCAAACACAAAGTTCCCAAAGTTTCTTCGACAAACTATTTACGAATTCGAAACGCAAATTCCAGTTATCGAAGAATATATCTCAAACTTTGTAATTACAGTCGATCGTGTATTTTAAATTTACCTTCTGCCGTGTTTCATTCAAAAACAGAAAATAACCGTAGATAAAAATTACAACCGAATACTGTTGAGCAACCCTAAAATTTTACAATATTTTCAAAACACACAGCGAGTTTTTCTATCACAAGCTTTCATTCTAAGACTTTCTCCATCGAGTACAATCGATATTAAGCGCGATAAAGGTTACAAGGCAGCAAAGCAAGGGAAGTAGAGCATTTCCCTTGAAAATCGAAGTTTTTCGACAAGTAGTAATTACGGTGAAGCTATAAACGCGGAAACGCGATACCCGAGACGTGTAGTTTGCAAGGAAGACGAGGCGAGGGCGTGTAAACGTCCCAAGATCCTCGAAACACGAGGGAAAACAGAAATACGAGCGGGAGGATTTAGTGCTGTGCGAAAATCCCTGTTGCAACGAGTGTTTACTGAGACTCCAAACAGAACAGAGACTCGCGTTCCCTTTATCAATTACAAGCGACGATATAATTTACCGGCGCAACGAGGAACGACGTAATTCACCGGCGAAACGCGAGGAACAACATTTTTCGTTGATTTTCCATCCTGTTTGTTGACACGGGGCAAGCGTCGGTTTCTAAAGCTGCATTCAACTGCTCCGCGAAAGCATCAGATCCCGTTGTTGTTTAGCTGCGATCCTCGAGGGATGTTGTCCTGAACCGCGCGAAGCTAATTAACGGCACAGCCGCATCGCTTGGCTTAATTAAAAAGCCATAGAATGAAAGGTGTCCCACGGAAGACAGACCGCCAAAACTTGCCACTCGGTTTAATTAAACACTGCACGAGAAGTTCCGATATACGCCTGGAATACTGGTACATCGGGGATTATTATCGACTGATCTAGGGAGAAATTGGAATGAGAGAGTTGATCCAGGTGGAATTTCAGTTTCTTACCGAAAATTTTACTGCAAAACTCCTGCGGAAACATTTTGCTAAGCTGAATGGGCAATTTGTCTTCGTCAAATTGTGTACGAGCAACTTTAAATGCATTAATTGCTACTGTTGGAGCTTATTATTGGTTAACTTAGGAGAAAAAGGTGAAAATAAAGCACTGATCGGCATGGAATTCATATTTATTGTTAACAATTTTATTGAAAAACGCATTTTCGATCTGTAGGTACGAAAACATCAGTCGGAAGCACCTCACTAAGCAGAATTACCAATCTTTCTTCGCTGAGTTATGTAATAGGGACTTTAAACACATTAAATGCTACTGTTGGAACTTTTTATTAGTTAATCTAAGGGAAAAAGTTGAAAACGAAACACTAATCGACTTGGAATTCGCGTTTACTGCTAAAAATTCTATTGGAAAATACATTTTCGACATGTAGGTGCGAGAAGATCACTCGGGAACACTTTACTAAGCAGAATTACCAATCCTCCATCGCCGAATTGTGTAATAGGAACTCTAAACACGTTGAATGCTGCTGTTAGGGTTTATCCCTTCTAGATGATAACTCGTAGGGGTAAGAGGATGCAGACAACGGAATTAATCCCAGCCCAGGAGTGTATTCAGTGCGATGTAATAGCACGATTCAGGGATTAGACTTGGAGAATAAATATACGGTCGCTGCGCAATCTGAACCCCGGAATTGATTTCGCCGGTAGCTAGCCAGGAGATCGATAAAGCTCACGGTAGAATCATTTCAAACGATCGACACGTTGAACGTAGATCTATCTGTCTACCCAAGTCCGCAAAATCCGCCTGAGATAACCGCAAAATCGACTCGTGAAATTCAACAGATAGACTGAACAACGTGATTGTTATCTTAATCAGTAGCGACAAACTTGATTCCCTCGCCATAAGTAGTTGGCTCCCGCTGCGATGTTCAGGATTAGGAAAATACAAACGACAAAGCTCCAGATTTAGACTACAGAGTTTCAGGTATATACAAAGTTGTAGCAACGAAACGCTGCAGGCTGATCCGCTAGAATTTCGGTTGACTGCACTGTGGACATCGTAGGAATTGAGTAGACAGATCGCTACGCAAACAAGTTTGCCAACAGAGAAGCTAATCCTGACAACTGATCTCGATAATGCCAAATTCCCGACTAGGAGGATAGGATGCCACGCGTCATCAGGAACTATCATCATGTTACCAGCTTTGTGCCCCGCATAATTAGCATCCATCCAACCCAGTGGCGAATGTTTACAGGAAGCTATGCAGGAAAGAGGATCGCCATGGATGCGGATGCGAAAACTCGATTGCCGGGACGAGATAATACGTCGTGTTTGGATTGAACGGCGTCGCGCGAGGAAATATTGTTTCAAGGAAGCGCGCGTTGCCTATAAAAATGTTTGCGTCCGACGCGCGTCATCGTCATACGGACGCGCACGTATCCAGCGAATTGCTGTGCGTGCGAGGATGACCGATCGAACGCGTCATTAATAATAAAGCAACCGGTATCACGCGGACGCGCATCGGGAATTATTAACCGTCGACGCGAGGGAAAATTGCGAGCAAACACGGATCGACAAAAATTAACGATGATCACAGGGACGGACTGGATAATGATCCCGATGACGGGATCGCAACGTGGAATTGCGGCAAATTGAAACGAATCGTTGATTCGCCCGGGGCGGGCTCTGATGACTGCATAACACGTTCGGGCGGAAACAAAACGCGACGCTGCGTTAATTAGCTGTCCTGAAATATCATCGCGTGAACGAAAAATGGAGGGATGTTGTGCGAATTCTTATATTTGCTGATTGCTGATGGATATTTTGCGGAGATGAGAAAATGGTTGACTGTAAGATGAATTGGTAGTTGTAATAATAAGTGGAATATAATATAGTATAGTTAGGAATAGCTGAAGTAATGAGTAACCATAGCAACTAAGCTAAAACCATAATAATAAGTAACCATAGTAAAGAATACCTACAGTAACAAGTAGAATTCGTTAGAAGGAATCAAATTTTAAGGGAATTTATTTCATTCGATCAAAGTAAATTACTGAACTAAATAAGAACCGAGAGTCTGATCTACAGTAACAGTAATAGCATACTATTCTGTGTTAGTAAAACAGCAAACGTTTCAGTTAGCAGGTATCGGTCAACTTTTCATCGTCCTACAATACTTATTTGATCTTGCCACGAACAAACAAACGACAAGCTGTTTTCTGTTTGTCTAGGGTGTACAAGAAATCATCGCCGAACAACAAGCTTACTTTATATCTGGCGAGCAGGGACCTGATCGTCAGCGAGACGAAGATCGACAAACTGCAGGGCGTGCTACTGGTTGACCCAGACTACTTACAGGACAAGAGGGTGAGGAACAAACTTACTGTTAATGCATTGATCGAAGGAAATCAGTTTAGAAACGCTGGGTGTAGGATTTGACGGTTAGTAAACTTACACTTCAACAACAAAGTCCACAAAGTCAAAGTACACAACAATAAAAGTAACAAGCATTAACAAATAACGAATAACAGAGAAACGAAAAGAACACAAGGAACGTCATAGCGACGTCCGAAAATGTACTGCCCAAAAATTGTCGTGGTGGGCCCACGAGAAATCCGCTTCCCCAATTTTTCCCGCGCGTCTAGGTCAGGAAGGCTTTTTCCAAAACGCGGGGAAAACCCGTACGTGCTGACTCACGCTGATGAAAAATTGTCGTCCAGAGGCGGAGCGTTTTATAGCCTTGCCTAGCGCAGCTATGTATATACCTGGGTGAGTTCAGTTTGTCGCGGGATTCCCGTGGCGCAGAAAATGTATCTCCTTGTCCACCATACCAGTAAATTACAAATTTCTTGATAATGAAACAACCATTTTTGTGCTGTGACAATTGTGGTATATAACAAAGCTTTCGTTAAAGACCTGCCCTTTGTTTCTCGATATTTGGTGATAGTTTGCAAACAATTGTCTCTTAATTTGGACTAATCTTTGGCCTGTTCACGGGTCACGTAACTCGTTCTTAACGGTACCATTCAACGAATCGGGTTACTAACAAGCCCATTCGTTCAAGTTCCGTCACTCGCCAAGTGACCTAGCTTAATTCTCATCACGAATCTCCGAAGGACACCACCCCTTGATATACTTAATGACAGTTACTTTCGAAGTTGCACAAGTCGGACTTATCTCCACGAGGCCGGGCTCTGAATTTTTCACATCTTGTCGTCCTCGCGAGATATTGACTCACAAAACTGTATAACAATATAATACTTGACATTACAAAATATCTCAATTATATCAGTTTCTATAGAGTTTAACAAGTGGACACATTGACCAAATAAACGTTCATCGAAACTCAAAATATTTCGTAACGATTGCTCTTCTTACTTTCTCACACTTTCTAAATCCAACGGTACTCAATTCACTCTTATTCACCACTAAGAAAATTAAGTTTTAAATCTATTTAACGCTGGAACAACCGCATTCGTCAATATGACGGGTTTCAATTTTCTAATTTCGCAATTACTGCTATCTTGAAAGCATTAAATGTCCGAAGTGATTTCAGAAATAAATAGTTCCACTTCAATATTATAATTAGTATATGAAAAAATGGAACAAAAAATCCATTGTTACAATTCTTATAAGCATTACATATTAATCATGTTGAATGCTTGATTGTTCTAGTGTTAACTCCTTGTTTTATGAATTCGTTCACAACTGTGGTTTGTGGAAATACTTTATCGTTAATAATTTGGTAGAAGAAGAAAAGAATTTAATACTGATTCTGTATCTACGTTTACACTAAAGATCAAAGATTGATAAAAAAACGAATAATATTTAATTCGTACCCAAAATAAATGAATTGCATTCAGATTTGTCAAAATTCATTGAAAATATTCACCACACGTCCGACTCGGTTTTGTAAGAGAAGGGGTTAAAAGATTCCGTTGCTTAAATTCAAATGATATCGCAATAATGTCCATCAATCTTACACAGTAATCAATCCAACACGACTATTACATAAACGCGTACTTATGTATTTGGGTTTCGTGAAAACAATTCACCACGGACCCATTTGCGAATCGACCATTATCGCGGCGAGTTCGACGAATATCATTACCGAACCATTGGATAATTGCCGGAAAGATTTAATAGCCGTTCCGCGTTCGCAATTACTTGCTACCTATATTCCCCACCTTTCCCCCATCAACCCGCTGTTTACTAATTACCCGACGGGGTGGACGTGTTCCAGGTGTACGGCCAAATTACGTTGACTTTTCGCTACGGCCGAGAGGACGAGGAGGTAATGGGATTGAAATTTTGCAATGAGGCGGTGATGTGTCTCGCGCAATTGTACCCGCCGTTCCTCGGACCTGATCACCAGGAAACGACGCCGCTACAGGTGTGTGGTTGCTTTTGGAAATTCGACTATGAAATTAGTTAATTACCGTATCCAATTAGCTTCTTGCATCTGAAATTAATTTAAGGGACAACTAATAGTTGAGGATTTTGTATCGAAACGAAACAAAGTTTATTATAAACACGCTTCTTTGTGAAAATGAGAAACAATAGATATGTATTTTATCTGAGTCTGCTAAAACGGATTGTATAATTATAACATATAAGTTCAATTTGAATTCTTCTCAGATATTCTAAAATTAGACCGTAGGTTAATAGAATGTTAATCTATTATACAATTAATCTTGATATTTAAGCGTTTCACAGAAGAAATTGTCAAAAAGTATTCTATACGTCGCTTTTATTCCAGCAACAGATTATAATCAACGCGTTTATAATGGAAAAATACCAAGAATACACGCGTTACACGTCTCCCATTTTTATTAAATACACAAATTCAATTTATCACAGGAAAACACGACTCGCTCAATATATCCTATTTCATACGGAAAAAGAATGAAAACATATTCTGCACGTCGCTGCTATTTCAGCAACAGATTATAATCAACGCATTTAAAATGCAAAAATACACATATTACATTAACATCTCCCATTTTTCTCAAATACACAAATAAATTCCATCACAGGTAAACCAACACGACTCGCCCAATATATCGTATTTCCAACAATAAAGCGTTATCAGACGGTCGATCGTGTTACACCGTACTTCGAGTAAGCTTGAACGAATTCGATTGTAGGGTAGATTGCCGATAGGGGCTCGATGGGATTCATAAATTCGTGAAATCTTGCCGGTTCGGGCCGGACTGGTGGCCGAGCTCGCGATCAATGAAAATTTAATAAAGACACCAAACGCGTGCACGGGCCGCGCTTTCCCAGCCCGATAGCAGGCAGGATTGTTTTCATAACGCGTCGTTAAATTCCGGAAAATTGAAAATATCGCACATATTTGTTGGCCGGGTTAATTTCCGTGGCGATGGCTGGGTCAACGGGACAGGACGTGGATAAAACCGCTCGTGATTGAGCGCTGCCGCGTTTTGTTTGCCAAACGTCAGTGGCCGTCCAGAGGAACGCGAGTTGATTCTTACCCAGCCTAGCGCTTTTTCGTCGGTCGGTTTGGAAAAGCAATTAAATCCTGAATGGCAAACTTTATGAGTCTGGATTGCAGTTTTCTCGTGTACATACCACTGCAGTTAGATTCCTTCTTATTTTGTGTTTTGAAGTTCATTGTATAAAATTACCAAGCTACCGAACCATCAAGTTACTGAATTATCAAAGTTCCGACTTATCCAGATGCTGAATTACCAAGCGACCAAAATATCAAGCTACCAAATTACCAAGCTACCGAATTATGAAGTTATCGAATTACCAAAGTGCCAAATTACCAAGCTACGAAATTACCAAGGTACCGAATCACCAAGCTACGAAATTACCAATTTATTAAATTACCAACACACCAAATTACCAAAATATCAATACCTCAACTAATATCGTTACTAAAAAATATGCAAGTATGCAATGGATCTTTTAAAGCATTCACAATAATAATAGACCTCTGTCGCTAAGGTATCAAAGCGTTGAAAGCTTGATGAAAGCTTGTCCAAGAGAAACCTCGGCCTCCAAAGTTGCAAAACCTTCATTGTTCATCATGGAAGCAATAACGACCAGCAGGATTTCCCAGCGAAAATTAATGAAGCAATTCGGGGTCCATATTATTCGAGCTAACAGCACCGAAGCACTGGTTCGTAATCAATTAACGGAATAAGCCACTCGGCTTAGAAATCAATTTCGCGCTCCGGTAATTAGAAACTTACATACGAGGACAACGATTCCAAATCAAGTTAACCAGACACGCGTGCTACACACTCTGTGCTGTCGAGCTTGAAATTCGGATATAGAAAGTTCGCAGCTGATGATGTGTGCAACACGGTGACTACCATGGCGAGTCATTGGTGACTCCCAAACAAATCAAATTACAGTAACACATCCGATTAAACGATAGCTCTTGAACTCTATTTAACATATCATGTATTATACAAAGTGGTAGCTTTTAGTAAGATAAATATGCAAAGAATAATGTAATTCAATTAAGCCTTTACATTATAATCATTTTCCTAATTTGTCCTCGACCAATTCCAATTAAATGCACCTAGTTTTAATATCTCACGTTAAATACGAATATCTTTATTAAAAATTCAATAAGAAATATTAATATTATTATTACTAACATTTCCATGATAAAAGTTGTTCAATAGAAAACTGTTGTACATCTTTTAAATACAATTATTTTTTACTAATAAAAAATAGTATTATAACTTGTAAAGTGACTTCATAGAGAAACGAGTTAAGTAATCTAATATTACATTAATTGCATTACGCATATTTTGTTTAAAATATACGAAAATCCTCCTGACTGCAATGTTTTAATCGTATAGAAGGTATAATTTCTCGATCAGCCGGAGAAATTTGTGAATATCAGCTTAGATGTCTGTATTATTAACGGAGAATGTTAATGGCGTCTTAATTGCGTTGTCGGGCGTAAGAAAGGTAATAAAATCTGGCGATAAACCGACGAAAAACGTTCCGCGCGCTCAGCGGATTTACAGAGGCCGGTTTTACTGGCTGTTTTAATAAACCGGCAGCACGCTCACGTAAAAGTTGCCGCGGATCCACCGATGCAGCGAAAATATTATACAAAAACAACCGAGAACGCTGTTCCCGCGTGCGGGTAAGGAACCTAGTTCTTGAGACGCAATTAACCTTAACGCTGCGTAATTACTTTTTCCCGTCTATTCTTGAAAAGTTTCCGTAACGAGAGAAAAATATTAATTATTTCGACTTGACCAGACTTGCGGGGAATATTGTTGGTACTTGGGGTTGGAAGTCTGTATTTCTTTAATTACTATTGTAACACGTTGAACGCCGCACGATTTCATAGAGCAAAATACTCAAAATGGGAAAAATATAATATTAAATCATTCGATTGAATTATGTTATTATTATTGCACGCTCATCTTGCGCAATGTCGCTGAATTAACTATCATTGTTTGTAATATACAAATGTTTTCAAACAATCGTCGTTTAATTAAACGGACTATAGTAATTTGATTTGATTGGGGGACTCCGGAGACCTACATAGCATTCAACGTGTTAATTATTCTCCATTATCCTGAAATAATAGATTTAATAACAATTACCATTGATACTCATTGATAACCTGTAAGTTAAATATAAACAAATTTTTCACTCATTTCAAGTTACAGACGTATGCAAATTTGCAGTTATCTCAGCCATACACCGATTACCCTTGTCCTTATGAATCTTTTATAACTCCAGACTAACGCATCATTTTGACCAGAAAAAAATACTGAATATGCTTGTAACAATTACCAATCAGTGCCCAAAGTTTCAAAACAATATCTTCGACGCTTCTCTTAAAAATTCTCGATCTCATAATCTGTTTACCCTTACAATAAAAAGAAACTCTCGTGTCGCAGTGTATGCAACTCGGTGCACAGCAATTCTTCAGAGATAATGACACTGGGAAGTATCCTCGGGTCATAACGAATTAAAGCACAGAATTCTAGATGCGTCACAGACTCCGGCTTACAACAGAAAGCGAACTCTGGAGGGAACGCACCGCTGCTCATTGTTCGAGGATTATCGTCCACCGAGAAAGGGGCGACGTTTACGACGGTTTTACGAGCGACTCGCGAATAACAAAGGTGGCACGACGTTGCTTCATCGAGATAAGTTTCCCGGGCGCGTCTTATCAAGCCGGTCGCGTTCGTTTCTTGGCCCGCGCGCGAGTCGATTCGTCGAATCTACGGGGAACAACGGTATACGACCGAAGTTTCCAATGCTGAGGGAAGAGGGACGCGTTGGGTCGTCGTTTTAACGAACCAATCGAATCGCGGCGGGTTGTGATAACGCTTGCGTAGGTGTACATTGTTATTCAACGTCGAACAAGGTGGATAGATATAGATAACGGCCGCTTTAGAACGTTCGCGACGCGCTTGACAGTAAGACGTGTCGGTGGAAATCAATTTTGAGAGAAATAGAAGAGTGATATTTGCACCTTTTGAAAATATTCGATGCTCCAGGTGCTTAGTATATTCTTAAAAAATGTATTCTCACAATCTTTATAAACTTTGTAATCGAAATGCGTCTTTTAACAGATCAAATACACTTTCTAGTCATTCAAACTCGCTTTCTCGTAAAGTAGTATATAAATATTAATATCATATCAAACAACATAAGTATATATATTATCAATACCATAAGTATTAATCGTATTAAGTACTCAACAGTTCTAATCAACAATTTTTCCTGCAATCACCGACAAAATGAACACGTCAACGCATAAAATTTTCAACGCATCAATACTCAGTCTCAAACATATCGTTTAAAAATCGCTTACTAAATTATTCTCGTCGAAAATAAACATGTACAACCATGGTGGTCGGTTACTGAGAAACATAGTATCAATAACGAACGTCGACGTGGAGCACGGACACCAATTTTCGTTTACGCGCAGAACCAATAATGGGCCCCAAGCTCGTCGATCCGCGGCCCGATAACCATAGAAGGTTTAAACGAACAAGCCGTTAAGAGATCCGATAGATCGTTGATCCGCTCGGAAATGAAGCGTTAAGCTTATGGCGCACGGGATGCGCGTTATATAGGACGCAAGCCTTGTAACCGATACGCGCGACGTCACCGAACAACGCGCACCGAACCGTTCTCGACCAAACCCTACTCGCGCGTGGAGCTTCAATTTCTCCCTCTTTTTGTCCCTTCTGCGAGATTCGCTCGTACAAAAAACTTTTTGCCGCTACGAAGCATCAAGGCGGAGCTAGGGGATCTGCTCTCTGTCGTAGCTGCCTTTTCTGCTGAGTATAACGTGGCTTTCCTTTGGCTTGCTCGACTGGGAATGTAGGGGAAGAGTGAAAGAAGGGTGGGGTTCCTTTTTGAATTTGGTAACTT